TATCGTCACTGGACATTGTCCAATGATAACATAATTTTTTAATGTTGTTTTCAAAACCTTGCCTCGTTGCTGCATGCGGGATATTGAAGAAAGAATGGTTTTCCCGGAGTGAAGCCAGCGATCAATAGTTATGTCACGCGGTCATCTGTGATAAGTTATTTTTAATACATGAACAATACAACAGCGCGTCTCTGATTTAGTCCCATTAAGTTCAGTCAATGTTATTTTGACGAGAAATTGCTTGTAATTCCAAGAACTATATTTTGATTTCCTGCCTTTCTCGCGGCAGTCGTTTGGACTAGATGCGTCCTGTTTTCAGTTGCTATTAAGATCTTAAACCTCGTTTAAGATACGTGTGAAATTATAGATTATGTTGTATTCCCTGTAAACACAACGGCGTGACTCTTTGTTATTGCGTCAAATTATCAAGGGTTTCAATATTGAAATATCTTGTTATAGTACAATGTAACCCTATAAATATACCAAAAAAAGAGGCCACGAACCAAATGGAGTGAACTCACTTGGGCTGATGAGTGACACTTCAAATATGTATATGAAAGGGGTACAAGCACCGTACATTTTTATAAGCTGTTTATTTGTTAATGTATTTACTGCTGCTGGCAAACATTTCCTTTACCATATATACTCAGAGTCTTTTTAAATTGAAAAGGATCCCCTGTGAGAGGGAAAATACACTGATTGAAAATCTAGACTTGCTTCACGGGGTCTATAGCACCACAGTAAGAGCTGGTCGGAAGGTAAAATAGAATGGTTCATGGACTGTAAAACAAACGATTCGTTGGTTTGTTGTTTAACGCCGCACTCAGCAATATTGAAGCTATATGACGGCGGTCTGTAAATAATCGAGTCTTGACCAGACAATCCAGTGATTAATATCATGAGCATCGATCCACGCAATTGGGATCGATGACATGCATCAACCACGTCAGCGAGCCTGACCACCTGATGCCGTTAGTCGCCTTTTACGACAAGCAGAGTCACCTTTTACGGCAAGCATGGGTTGCTGAAAACCTATTCTACCCCGGAATCTTGACGGGTCGTAAGACAAACGAATGACCACTGTACAATTAAAGGTAGCGTGTATATTAAACGTTTATCTTGACTTTATATGTTGACTGATGATCCTCCGAGTAGATATGGAACGCTGATGTTAATGTTGGTGCATGACTTTTGGTGATGACTTTCTGGTAAAAATAAGAGAATGAGTGGTGATATGTTCAAACAGGCCCGTGAAGATCCGGGGGAGAACAGGTCTTCAGCAACCCATGCTTGCCGTAAAAGGCGTCTATGCTTGTCGTAAAAGGCGACTGACGGGATCGGGTGGTCAGGCTCGCTGACTTGGTTGATGCATGTCATCGATCCCAATTGCGCGGATCGATGCACATGATATCAATCACTGGATTGTCTGGTCAAGACTCGATTATTTACAGACCGCCGTCGTATAGGTGGAATATTGCTGAGTGCGGCGTTAAACAATAAACAAACAAACAAACAAACAATACACATTCACGACAACATAGTCGGAACATGGATTTGGTTAACTGAGGAAACTGGGGCTGCTCGTGTAAAGACAACGGTAACCTCACTAGATTGTCAGGAGCAAATATGAAAAATAAAGTCTTCAGTCACGTCGGTGTCGTGTTATATAATCATGTATAACCGACCTGACAATTATTTACAGATGACCACAATAGATTACCAAATCGAATCAGGATTACCTATAATCGGATTATCACAAAGGATTACAGTAGTTCAGGAACAGGTTATGGCAGGTAATTTGGACATTTATGACGAAACATTGAAATCGAAAAATATAAGATCTGTAAATAATCGCGTCTGGGCCAGACAATCCAGTGATTGACGTTATGAGCATCGCGCAACGCAGCGGAGATACCAAGACATGCAGCAACCAAGTCAGCGACCTTGACCATCCGATCCCGTTAGTCACCTTTCACGAAAAACATGGTGTCTGAAGACGAATTCTAACCCATATCTTCACGGGGAGAAAATGCTTTGGTGCTGGCTCTAATCGTAAGGTGTACATTTTTTTGTAGTAACCTGATTCATCAGCTGTCAAGGAAGCCTCGGGCTCCTATCTAGCCCCGGACGGTCATGTTACCCTCAACAAATCATTCACTAATTCCGTTACTGAGGAACATGAAGTTGGGGGCATGTTGGACCAAGATCGATGAACATTTACATTGTACACGACGAGCAAACTAAACCTCATCACTGACACTGTCCCATTCATTGAATCATAGACCCTTGAAGATGCGGGGTAGACTAAGGTCTTCAGCAACCCATGCTTGCCGTAAAAGGCGACTATGCTTGTCGTAAGAGACGACTAACGGGATCGGGTAGTCAGGCTCCTGACTTGGTTAATGCATGTCATCGTATCCCAATTGCGTGGATCGATGCTCATCACATCAATCACTGGATTGTCTAGTCCAGAATCGATTATTTACAGACCGCCTTCATATAGCTGGAATATTGCTGAGTGTGGCGTTAAACAACAAACAAACAAATCATTGTATAATATCAAGATATACTGATGTGAAGGGATAGTTAAAAACTCGTTTATATAAACTAATGTGCATAGGTATGTGGACATATGCACTCTGTGTAAATAAGCTATAGTATAGAGACGCTTCCTATATGTACTTTGATCTTGGACTGTCGAGGTGGTGAGGTGAAAGGGGGTTTAACGTCGCGTCAAAGATTATTGTACTTATATCGCGACATGCATGCACGTGTGTGTGTGTGGGTGCTTGTACAAGTCCGGAATGATGCCGAATTATAGTGCCAGCACACTGAGATACCATGCCGCAGTTTAACATGAAAACTCCACTCAGACACAGTATACTGACTCAGACACAGTTTTAGCCCCTTAATGCCGAGCGCCAGACACGGTTACAACAAGTACCATCTTTTGACGTCTTTTGGTGTGACGCGGTCGGGGATCGAACCCCGAACCTTCCGCTCTCCGGGCGGACGCTCTACCACTAGACCATGGAGGTGGTCTTGGGACAGTTGAACAGGCAAGAAGCATGTAGATAAAGTCAAAGATATTTATATAGGTTACTGAACGTGTCCCCGTTAGCTATCAGTTATATTACAACGAGTGTATCTTAAAAAGTATCTGAACGAGCGAAAGCGGGAAAATATATTTGTTTTAAAGACGACAATATTGACGAAATGGTGGTGTTCATGTCAATGCATGTAACTGCCACATGACTGCGAATATTGGAAGTATTTTGTATCCGTAGATTTTTCAAGCTAACTGAAATGCGTGAAATATTTCAATTGAATGAATGCAAACCCGTGACACTACTAATACCTACAGAGATTTGAGTGGCCAAAGGGTTGTATCCCTTGGTCGAACCAGGATCTGCTGTGTGTGTTCATATCGCAATTAGGGTCCTTGATCTGTCCGTAAATATTCCCCTGTTTTTGCGTTTCATTTAAGGCAAACATGACGTAACCCTAAGCCAGGTACACATGTATCATTACTCTTATAACCACATGTAAAATGTCTTAACTGATAACAAAAGCCTTTAACCAAACTAATGACTAAATGTAAAGCTTGGCGCAACTGGAACACTCTTGATTTTTCACATTCCGCGCTCGCGTCCCCTACTGCGGTAACGAGGTAAGTCAGTACACAAATAATTAGGACCTCGCATCCTTACGTTTTAAGCACGCCATTCTTATGTTACAGGATAAACTGGCCTTTTGAGCCAAGAAGACCGTTCAACCTTGACACTTGTGATAAAATGGCTGTACAAAGAACCAGTGAGGGCGGAATCGCTTTGCACCTAAAGTGTGCACAGGACGTGGTTTGTTTGTCCCACTCCCGGGGTGCAATGATAGATTTTTATGAAACCGTTTGAAGACATGTAATCCATGTTGACGAAACTGCTTGATCAATGGTTTGCCAAAGAGGCATGTTGCTGTGTGCTCCATATTCACAGGTAAATCCGACAAACCTAGAAACATAATCGAGTAGAACCGGGATTCGAACATTTTCATTTTCCACGACGCGCAAACTAAACCTCATCACTGACTCTGTCTGATTCATTGTATAATAGACCCGTGAAGATCCAGAGTAGGTCTCCAGCAAACCATGCTTGTCGTAAAAGGCGACTAACGGGATCGGGAGGTTAGGCTCGCTGATTTGGTTGATGCTTGTCATCGTATTCAAATTACGTGGATTGATGCTCAGGATATCAATCACTGTATTGCCTGGTCTATTTATTTACAGACCGCCGTCATAAAGCTGGATTATGGCTGAGAGTGGCGTTAACCAACCAACCAACAAACACACAAACCCCATCGCCATTGAACCAATATATTTGTTCACTAATTCACCCAGCCAGATTACGTTTTGCAAACTATTGCAGGAATGAGTCATGGTAAAATAGACAAAATCAAATTTAAAAACAGTTCTTTCAATTTTGAATTACAAAGAAAATTTAATACAAACTCGATACGGTTTCAATTGCCCCTCAGTTGGTTTATGTTGCCGTCGTACAGTAACCGATATTTTGCTGATGCGTGGTTGAATACTCACTCACTCACTCACTCACTCACTTACTCTCTCACTCACTCACTCACTCACTACCCACCCACCCACTTGGATATGGAAACATCTACCTGTACAATTCAACAATAATCGAAGATATTCCTATTTCCAGGGAGCGAAAGGTAATTGATCATATTTGTTCTCTTTTCAGTTGAAAATGTTGTTTTATCCATTCTGAAATATGAAAGGTAACGGTTTCATTAATCCCACTTTGTAGGTTTCCTTTGTGTGATAGAAAGTATTGACTTGTTGTTTTACCTTGATGGTGTCAAAGCCCAAGGGATTTGATCTGCAAATGAGAGGCCAGATGTAGCGTGTTAAAAATGCTTCACATCTTTATTGCGCCATCACTTTGCAATTAACATCAGCGCACGTGTTGCACGCAGAGCACGTGGAGGAATCCTAACCATTTATCGCTATCCCAAGGCCAGACTCACAGTTGCGTCAGAGCGGATGGACGAGGGACGGCGAACATGTGTAGGTGAGACAAACTTGAAACAAACGCCAAAAGGTTCAATTATCAATCACATCATAAGGCTTGTTGCTCATTTCGAAAAAATAATATCTACAAACAATTTCACAAGTGTCGCAAACGTTAGACTACAATACTAAAGCCGTATTTAACTTTTTTGACAGGGGGGCAAAATAAGATTATTCATTCCTTATTCAAGTTAACTTTCACAAGGGAAAATGTTTTCCAGTGGGGCAACTGCTGGCTACGGCACTGCAATACGCTATATTCATGCGACAATTCATTACACAAGACATGCGACATTAAATGTCGGCTGTCTCGCTTTATAACAAATCGCATACCCCACAGCACTGATCGATGGTTAACGTGGTTGTCCAATGTACATGCATATGCTGGCTCCTGCGATAGAGATGCAAAATTGCTGACGACGGCGAATCTATGACCGATATTGTTCAGGGTCATAACCATTCCAGTCGAACCCCGTTATCTCGAATGTACCGATATATCGAAACTATTCTCCGGTCACCACCGCCTCAGCAAATTAATACGTATACATTTGCCCGCTTATCTCGAATTCGTTATAAAACTACATGGCGCATCTCGAACGTTGGACTCAGACTTGGTTCCCAGCTTTGACTTTGCAATATAATTTTGTACCTTTATCTCGAGGTTGGCCTCGAGAGAATGAGAATATGCCACAAGACCAGTTTTGTGAAGCGCAAATAAGACGTACACAGCGGTTTGTAATTCGCCTAAAGGGGGCACGGCTAAGGCGCCGCGTGTCGTTGTGCAGAGTTGCGTCCCTTGGGCACGGCAGAAACCTATGATTGTGGGTTCGAGTCCCAGTTCGCCCCGATTATGTTTCTAGGTTTGTCAGCACCATACCCGTGCTCGTGGGTACACCGAAGTGGTAAACATCTGAGACCTGCACCACTTCGGGCTGTCCTCCCACACGCCGTGATATAACTGGAATAATGTTAAAAACGGCATTAAACCATACTCACTCACTCACTCTCACAAATTCGTCTAGATACTGGTATGTCTGGTTCCATTTCTCACACAATCATTTAACGCCACTGCAACAGTACAGTGCTATTTGAACGTTTCAACCGATTATGTAATTTTAATCCAATTGTAGTGGTAATCTTTATTGACAAGTCGCTTTATATGTCTGAGAAAATGCAGATTCGACGTTAAATTTGAACTCACTCCATGTTATAAATTAAATTCGTCTTACAGTTGATCATTCATATTTCCAATTCTCAGGATAATATGATGTTTAATGCATCACTTTGATTCAGTTACCCCTGCCTTGTCATAGGTTGTGGGGGGCACGGGTGGCCCTGTCGTCTAAGGCGCCGCGATTCGCTGTGCAGAGTTGCGTCCCTTGGGCACGCCAGAAACCTATGATTGTGGGTTCTAATCCCTGTTCGCCCCGATTATGTTTCTAGGTTTGTCAGCACCATACCCGTGCTCGTGGGTTTCACCGAAGTGGTAAACGTCTGAGACCTGCATCACTTCGGGCTTTCCCCCAACATCAAGCTGACACGACGTGATATAACTGGAATACTGTTAAAAGCGGTGTTAAACCCAACTCACTCACTCACTCATAGGTTGTGGTAAACAGGTTGTGGTATTGTGAAGAGACAAGAGAACAACGGATGTGTATGTTTTGTGGCAAACAATGTGTTAAAAATGTATTTCATTTACTTCTTCCATATGAATACTGTATTGTGAAATCAGAAAAATATATTGAAAGGTACAATGACGTACCGGCAATACATCAATTTGATATGTTAATAACTGCAAATATTAATGTTGTACAGACCTTGTCGATCGCGATGTACATTTTATTTTTCAAGGTCTTATACCCCGTTCACGTGCGTCTCTATACATGTGCGTCTCTATACATGTGCGTATATATGTCCATACGTGTGTAGAAATACATACGTGAGTATACTTGTCATGTGAACGCGTTTACTCATGGTATATATTTACACCAAGAGCAAATTTGCATTATGTCCGGAGCAGGTGCAAATGTAAATGTACATTTGCGCTGTGTGTATATGTTGCAATGAGAACGTTTATGTCAACGTAAGAGGATGATCTAATTAATATCTGATCTTTTGCCAACACCAAACAAATTGTCAACAGTTGTCAACTTTTATGCGTATATACAGAGTTGAACGGACGGTGTTTTCTTTTGCTTTCGAGGTGTCAAAACTTTGTGTACAAATTAAATCAAACACATGTTGCTTCACGCGGAAATTTTCGGTGAAGTAACTCTCTTCTCATTCAACTTTGATTGGAAAATAACCTGTTTTGTGTTGAAAGTCGTGAACAGACTGACGAATATGTGTGCCTTACACAATTTACATACTTTATTTACACACCTTAGATGCTTTTCATGTGAACGCATAGTAAATTTACATATACACACGTATGTATATTTACACGTGTATAAATACTTACGTTATTACCCCGTTCCCATGCACCTCTCTGCATTTATGTGTATATTAGCACACGTGTGTTGATATACATACGTGAGTATCCTTGCCAGTCATGTGAACACGTTTACTCACGTATGTATATTTACACCAAGAGCAAATGTGTTCTTATCTGGAGCAGGTGCAAATGTAAATGTACACAAGAGCATATTTGCGCTGGATGTATATGATGTCATGGGAAGGTTTATGCCACCGCCGGAGGAGGATCAAAGCAATATATCTGTTGATTTGCCAACACCAAACAAATCGGCCACACTTGTGTATTCTGAAGTTGACGCTGTTCAGTACACAGCAATGCCGACCTTTAAGCGGACATTCAGAGGTGGGTGGACAGTGTTTCCTTTGGGTTTCAAGGAGTGCAAAAATTATGTAGAGATTAAATCAAACACATTTCGCTTCATGTGAAGATTTCTGTGACGTAACTCTTTTCTCATTTTACTTTTTTGGAAAACAACCTTTTCGTGTTGAACTTCGTGAAAAGACTGATGAATGTGTGCCTTACACATTTACATACTTCATTTACACACATTAATTAATTTTCATGTGAACGCATAGTAAATTTACATATACACATGTGTGTATAGTTACACAGTGCAAGATTCCGGGGTAGAATAGGTCTTCAGCAACCCATGCTTGCCGTAAAAGGCGACTATGCTTGTCGTAAAAGGCGACTATCGGGATCGGGTGGTCAGGCTCGCTGACTTGGTTGATGCATGTCATCGATCCCAATTGCGTGGATCGATGCTCATGATATTAATCACTGGATTGTCTGGTCCAGACTCGATTATTTGCAGACCGCCGTCATATAGCTGGAATATTGCTGAGTGCGGCGTTAAACAACAAACCAACACAGTGCAAAATTACTTATGTCAGTAAATGTTGTGCATGTGGACGGGGTATTACCTGTGAGTATCACTTATTGAAATCATGGACCGATGGCCTGCAGTACCTTATGAACAACAGACTTGAGCTCGGAATATTTATTTGAAACGTGAAGATCCGGGGTAGGATAGGTCTCCAGCAACCCATTCTTGTCGTAAGGGCGACTAGCGGGATCGGGTGGTCAGGCTAGCGGACTTAGTTGATGCATGTCATCGATCCCAATTGCGTGCTCATGATGTCAATCACTGGATTGTCTGGTTCAGACTCGAATATTTGCAGACCGCCGTCATATAGCTGGAATATTGCTGTGTGCGGCGTAAAACAACAAACCAACCAACCGACATAATTGAGTAAAGCAAATCTTTCCAAATCTGTCTAATATATCCACAGATTGGGTTAGTCCCATTTACATATGGGTGTGGACCTCATCAAGCCTACTTCATTATCTGACTGGGGGCACGGGTGGCCCTGTCGTCTAAGGCGCCGCGAACCGCTGTGCAGAGTTGCGTCCCTCGGGCACGCCAGAAACCTATGGTTGTGGGTTCGAATCCCGGTTCGCCCCAATTATGTTTCTAGGTTTGTCTGCACCATACCCGTGCTCGTGGGTTTCACCGAAGTGGTAAACGTCTAAGATCTGCATCACCTCGGGCTTTCCTCCCACATTAAGCTGACCTGCCGTGATATAACTGGAATACTGTTAAAAGAGGCGTTAAACTCAACTCACTCACTCACTCATTATCTGACTAATGGGACATCTGACTATTAAGAGTAAACCCCTCGAACGAATTGTAACAATAAGTTTATCAAAAATAGAATAGCGTGATATTTATTGAAGGTTTTGTCGTTTTCTTATATGATATAATTATATATACTCTCTTATGACCATTAGAGAAATCTGGTCACGATATGGCTGAAATACTCGCAATATGACTTTAAAATGTAAACAAATTTTTGTCACCCGCCTTTGTATCGTGGACAAGTTCCTATATTTTACTGAAGTGACTACTTTATTTATAATTACTTCTGTGTTTGAAGACTACACTGGAAACGACTTACAAATAATTGTCCCCCTGAGTTACAACTATGTGATACATGTGCTGTGAATCTGCAAACACAGCGGTGTAATTTCTTAAACTGTGTGAATGAGTTTTTGCTGAAATGTTATCAAACTTCAACAGCGCTTTTTAGTCACATTCACTGAACACCGGAATTGTCTGAGAACATTGAGGTGGCAGGCATGGGATGAGGAACATAGTCAAGCATAGCCTGAGTGTGTTACAAAATGGGGAATGACAGACAGAACAATAGTCTTGGGTATGATAACTGAGATAAGCGTACTGTGTTTTCAATTTAGAACTACATTGCCTGTAGACATAACCGTCCAAATATAATTTGGAACAGAACGCTCCGCTGAAAAATGACAAAATTACATGTAAACACGAACTCCGTGGGGTTAGCTAAGATCTTGACAGAAGCCGTTGGTTTGTTTTTAGTTCACCGTTTGTTTGTTTTTTAACGCCGCACTAAGCATTATCCCAGCTATATGACGGCGGTCTGTAAATTATCGAGTCTGTACCAGACTGTCCAGTGATTGATATCATGAGCATCAATTCACGCAACTGGGATCGATGACATGCATTAACCAAGTCAGCTAGCCTGACCACCCGATCCCGTTAGTCGCCTCTTATGACAAGCATAGTCGCCTTTTACGGCAAGCATGGGTTGCTGAAGACCTATTCTAACCCGGATCTTCACGGGTCTGTTTGAAGTTCATACACTCCGATAATTGTCTTTGAACAAATAGTGGCGCTTTATGTGCTTGCACATAAACAGTTTTCTGTCGATATGCTTTGTGACGTCATAATTGGCAAAAGAAAAACCCCTAATTGCAAGCTCTCTGACGTCTCCAAAACTTCTTACACGCTCTGTCGATTTCATACTAAAAAAAGGAATTGCCAAATATTCTTTTAATATTGTAGTAACCGCAGATCTGCACTTTATACCCTAAAATTCTACATATAATTATTTACAATTGCCTACCGACAGTGGCTGAGAAAGTACTTTTCTTTTGACTCGGCGGTAATTCGATTGTCAAATCGGCGCTTCCAGTCATAGGTGGCTGTGATTTGATACCTCCAAATGACAAATCCGAATCGAGTTGTTTCCAAATTCAGTGTAGAATAGAGGTAAACATTACGTATGTTCAGATTCGCGGCTCTGGAGTGTTTGATTCTTGGGCATGTCATTGCGCCGTAAGCCAGCCGGAGGTTACAAATGTTAGATTTCCGCACATCAAATACTGAATATAAACCCGCAAATCTGAAAATACATTAATTATGTTTATCGACATTTTAAAATACAAATATTTTCCATAGCACACATCTACTAAATGTATTTCTGGAAAGATATGGGGGCGGTCGGGTAGCCTAGTGGTTTAAGCGTTTGCTCGTCACGCCGAAGACCCGGGTTCGATTCCCGACATGGGTACAATGTGTGAAGCCCATTTCTGGTGTCCCCCCGCCGTGATATTGCTGGAATATTGCTAAAAGCGGAGTAAAACCATACTCACTCATTCACTGGAAAGATATGTTGTCACGATACAGTTGACGTCAGTTGCTTCTAAGCTTCTAAGCAACTGAACCCGCCTAAGGCCGTATTTATAAAAATCGTAGAATGTTTTTGAATACGGCCCCTGGTTAGAAGATTGTGGATAGAAAACTGCGAAACCGAATTTCTGATGAAAATTGATTAAACTTAACGTATTAATGTAAGAAATTGTTCAATGAACGTGTTTGTTTTTCTTCAATCAGTATGCCTTGTTTCTTTTTGTAAATTTGAGATTAAGAAAAGTGTTAATTTGCAGTGGAATTGAAGGTTTCCGGGATCCCATCCTATTTGCAACCCATGCGCACATACTACTGTCTATTTTACATTGTTTCACAGACTTGGTCCAAAATTCCACCCCCCCCCCCCCTTTCTAAATTTGGAGATCCGACCTTGACTTTACAAGGGGCACGGGTGGCCCAGTCGTCTAAGACGCCTCAAGTCGCTTCCCCATGTTGCTTCCCATTGGGCACGCCAGAAACCTATGATCGTGGGTTCGAATCCCGCCCACAGGAAGGGAGAAATTCTGTTCAATGCGGTGTTTAATCCATCTCAATCACTTTTCAAGATTTGTACCATGTTCTCACTTGTATTTGCAGGTGTGCAGTCGTCATCGTTTTAACCGTCTTTGTGGTAAATATGCCAACTTTTCGATTATTCTAATATGTTTAATAAAATTGCCATGACGGTACGCATTTCGACACATCTCAAGAGAAAGATTCCTCACTTCATAATTTTCAAGAGGCGACTAGGTGGTCAAAATTGCCACTCTTATTGTAGGTTTTCAATACTTTCGCTGGGGAACCACCAGGAAAACCACAAACTGTGGGTTGTTTTTTATAATGAAAAAAATGATCGTTGCATCTTCTGTACAGATCGATGTCAACGATGATCAGCATAACGCCGCGATGAGACCTTATTTAGCCATTCATTAATTTTCGTCAGACACAGAATCTTAAATCAATGTGATTCCTTTAATGTTGTTTGCAATTAATAGCATTGTACATATTGTCATGAAATATTTTCCGGATAGGTTCATGGCAATGTACGGGGCGGTCGGGTAGCCTACTGGTTAAAGCGTTCGCTCGTCACGCCGAAGACCCGGGTTCGATTCCCAACATCGGTACAATGTGTGAAGCCCATTTCTGGTGTCCCCCGCCGTGATATTGCTGGAATATTGCATAAAAACGGCGTAAAACCACACTCACTCACTCACTCACTCATGGCAATGTACCATAGTTTATGTGTTCGATTCATATTTGAAGAATATATTCAAACCTTGACACCTGACTTGAAACAATATCTTTTTCAACAATTTTGTGACTTTGGATATCTGCTTTTCAGACCATGCCCAAAGCTGCAATACCGAGAGGATACATAGTGCAGGGTACGTTTTTAAATGTTTCCCCCACAAAAGCACACACTGAAACGCATTCGATTTTAATACTTGGCAAATGGCCACTAAAGTGAAAAACGCATCTTTTATGATTTGGGGTTGAAGTTGAGTTTGCGTGTTGATTTTGTGTCAATATGTTTTTTGTTTTAGATATGAATACAAAAAATATTGAATAAAAGACAATGTAATAATATTTTGATGCGGTGCAGGACGTTAAACAATATGAGATTTTCTCTTTTTAATAAGGGACCAACCGCGGCATCATATCACTTGCAACCCTGATATTGTTTATGACATAATGTATTCTGTAACGCAAGAAACCTGTGATTGTGGGTTCGAATCCCGGTTCCACTCGATTATGTTTCTAGGTTTGTCGGACCGCCTCCGTGGTCTAGTGGCAGAGCCTCCGACCGGAGAGCGGAAGGTTGGGGGTTCGCTCCCAAGCCGCGTCATACCACATGACGATGGGAGATAGTACTTGTTGTTACCCTGCCTGGCGTTCGCCATTAAGGGACTGGTCGGCTCGGAATCTGTATATTGTGCCTGAATGCTTTTTTCGTGTAAAACTGCGTCATAGTATATCAGTGGGCCACCAGTCCGGACAAGTACAAGCAAACAAGCACACAAGCGCACACACGCAAACACGCACACACCACACCACATCACACCACACGCTGCTTTACAAGAGCAATAATCTTGGACCAGACACTGAATCCCAATTCACCTCATATCTAGGTTTGTGAACACCATACCCGTGCTCGTGGGTGTCACCAAAGTGGTAAACGTCTTAGAACTGCATCACTTCGGGGGTTCTTCCCAAAGTATGCTGACCCACCTTGATATAACTGGAACACTGTTCAAAGCGGTGTTAAACCCAACGCACTCACTCACTCACTCACTCACTCACTCTAGCCCTGGTTTATAATGTATTGTTGAATCATAGGTTATTCCTTTAATTGTTCTAAACTAGTTTTACTTCTAAACTGTGATATGCTAGTTGTTATACTGTCCGTCGATGACAGGTGTTTTATTTTAATGTCAGTATTATAAATGTTCTCGTCACGATATGGCTGAAATATTGCCGATGTGACGTAAAGCTTTAACTCACTCACTCACTCACTCACTCACTCACTCACTCACTCACTCATACTATGTTACTATTAAAGTAATTGTAAACTGTTTTAAGGGGCCTCATTTTGGATGTTTTATTTGGGCAAGTGCTTGTACAATCTGCAGTGACCCCCTCGTGTGGCAGCGATGGCATCTCGGACGCGCTAGTGACGGTTATAACTGATCTTCAAGCTGAAGCCTGGGGCAAGTGTTCGGGGGCTACGTCGGTACCGTTCACCAGTTCCGATGGAGTCCACTTCACCCTACCAGTCTCCTACCCACAAGGGTCGTCCCTCTGCAAGTTCAATGTAAGTGTTTCATATATATATTTCAATTTAAATATTTTATATTTATCCATTTGTATTTACAGGGGTCACCGGTGGCCCAATCGTGTATGGCGCCGCAATTCACCGTGCAGTGTTGCGTCCCTTGGGCACCCTAGAAACCTATGATCGTGAGTTCGAATCCTCGTTCGCCCCGATTATGTTCCCAAGTTTGTCAGCACTATACCCGTGCTCGTGTGGCATCAAAGTGGTAAACGTCTAAGACCCGCATCATTTCGGGCTTTCCCCATACAGTATGCTGACACGCTGTGATATAACTTGAATACTGTTCAAAGCGGCGTTAAAACCCAACTCACTCTGTCACTCACTCACTCTTATTTACATGTCGATAATAAGTGTTGGTTTATCGGTACCATTTTGTGATCTTTGCCTCATCAAAGTAGTGAACGTCGAAGACATACGTCACCACGTGCTTTCGGACTTTACTCCCACAAGAGGCTGGCTGGCTGGCTGGCTGGCTGGCTGACTGACTGACTGACTGACTGACTGACTCATCCATGTATGTAACTGTATATCCAAGCTAATCCACTCTGGCGACAGACCGCCGCCGTGGTCCAGTGGATAGAGCGTATGCCTGGAGGGCAGAAGGTCTGTGGTTCGATCCAGGTCGCGTCATATCAAAAACACGTTAAAATATGGTACTCGATGTGTGGTGCTCGGCATTAAGGGGATAAAACTGGAGACGGTTTACTGTGTCTGAGTTGGGTACCAATGTTTAACTGCGACATGGAATCTCGATGCACGAACGTCGCTATATATGTGTTATACTCATCTTCCCGAGGCAAGTGAGTTAACTGACTATACAAGTCCAGTATCCACACTTGCCGAACTAGGTTGGTATTGTGGAGTTACATTTTGGCTGCACTAACGAGTCTATGCATAGTCCAATCAAAATCGCGCACCGAAATCGAAATCCGGTTCGTAAAATGTCGTGGAAATTTCTGTCGATTGCAGGATTTGCAAAGCATGTCCATCGTTGTCAACAGATATTTTCCTGGTCTTTTCAAGGTTTTTATTCAAGCTGTTCACGTGATTTGATGCACTTCGCTATGTAAGACCCGTTTTATCACAATATAGATCTTGATTATCGATCAGATCGTTTTGACTGGGCGCCGCCATTTATGTAACCAAATACAAGTGATACGAGAGGTGGAATGTGATTGGTCCATATGAGAGGCTTAGAAGGGACATAACTCGTAATAACCACGGGTGGCGCTACGGTCGAACCCAGGAATTCCAGCCGGCAAGTGTGAAACTGGACTTTTAAAGTAAGTTTACTCCCTTGCCTCGGGAAGATGGGTTATACTCCGGTCCATGTCACATCACGTTTTATGGTTTCCATGTTGACGGGTATCAATTGTAATGAGACTAGTTGGTACACATGAAATTTGTTTCTTTATATATTAGTAATTTTCTCATGTACTGGCCTTGGCATGGTATCGTACCAACAATTACTGGTTTCGAACTGTTTGTCAAAGAGACCTGAGTATACATGCATAAAGTAAACAGAAATAAACAAAACCTCTGATCTATCTGCTCCCTATCTGGGCGTTGCTCATGCTGTAAACATCTTTAAAATTTAGTTTAATAATAAAATCCGGAGGAGCTTTTACAATGTAATGGTGCCAATAGGAGAGCGATTGGGACAACGTTTGTTTTCTGAAATGACTTAAACAGCTATAAATTTTGCTTGCATTCTTTATTGGAAGTATTTTGTTTTCATAGTTTTGGCAGTTAAACAGACCATTACGAATTTGAATCGTAAACAAACGCAAGCCTTTTAGCCACTGGCAGTTTGACGATTGTTCCTGTAAATAATGGCAATTTTGTAAAAGTTTTAAAGTTCTTTTTGGGAATAAATGTGTCTGGCAAGATTTGTAACACTTGTAAATGGGTTTAATCTCATCTGCAAAATGTGTGTAATTTTATTCTTGTTAAGGGTGCCATTTTTCATGATTACGTATCTTGTGAGTGAGGGTCTTCATTAATACAACATTCGCCAATAATTTGTGGTATTGTGGATAGAGTATCAGCTCGGAAAGACTAAGATCGGTGTTTCGATCCCGACCGCGTCATAAAAAAACCGTAATAGATGGTACTTGTTGTTACCTTGCCTGGGACAGGCAGACACACACACACACACACACACACACACACACACACACACACATATACACATACACACACACACACACACACACACACCTCGCTATGTAAGTGCAATAATCTTGAACACGAAGTTAAACCCCATTTCACTTCACCGTACAAATAATATAGCTATGTTTGAATGTCAAATTTCTGAATGTCCTAAGGGGCGGTCGGGTAGCCTAGTGGTTAAAGCGTTCGCTGTCACGCCGAAGACCCGGGTTCGATTCCCGACATGGGTACAATGTGTGAAGCCCATTTCTGGTGTCCCCCGCCGTGATATTGCTGGAATATTGCTAAAAAGCGGCGTAAAACCATACTCACTCACTCACTCACTGAATGTCCGAAACGTTAACCGCTGTAAAATATTCCAGTCAACCGGCTGTTGAAGTGTGAGTGAGTTGTGCTAAAAGCTGCTTTGAACAGTACTTCAGTTACATCGCGGCTTGTCCGGTGATGGAGGGGGGAGCCTGAATTGATGCAGTTCATAGATTTTAACCACCTTGTTGAATGATGCTGACAACCGGGGACAGTTTTGTATTTGCTCCCTCTGTATAGACCTGTGAACCATTGTTTATAAAACAACGAACATATCGCAAAAAAAGCATCTTTGATCGATAACAACAGACATGCCTTTAGCACACTTCGAAAGACTTTTTAGCATTCCATGTCATCGGAGAAAACATTACCGATATCTTTTCGTTGAATAGATTTCACAAGAAACACATTTTGCTTTCCAAAGGAACATCTCTCACCTCCCGTGGGATGGTCCTTTCAAGTCTTTGCTAAAAAACAATTCGTTTTTCTCCAGCAATCTGTCCACACCGGGGGATGCATGTCACTTTGATTTATGGTGGCCAAACATACACCGTATGGGGCTAAAAGAACATGTTCTTTGGCAGAAATGTTCACTTGAAGAGCTATTGTTTGATTTCCTTTGCCATGAAGAGAAGCATAAGGCGCTATAAGAGACGTCTTCCAGTTTTTATCGCTCTGGAGGTACGTCGTAACATTAACGCGCTAAATGCTACCATACCGTTACAGCGGAAACAGCGCGCACCTGCCAGTCGTACAACGGCTAATACCTTCTTCAATCATGGACGTGATGGCGTTCATGATACTTCTGTCTTACATTATATATAACAGAGGAACGATAAATTTTGACAACAAATTGATTTACTATTTTGGCGAAGCATTCACCAAAACACCGGGCGCAAGTCTATCGTAATATTTTTTCAGCGCACTGAACGTAAGAAATTAGAACAACAATGAATAATTTAATTCATAATATAAATTTTATTTTAAAAATAACACCAACCTCTGACTAAGTTCAACTAAGTTGTCTTTTATAAGCTGTTGAAAAGAGCTTATAGTTACAGACAGAAACATGAGTGTTTTTACGCAGTTTGAGAAAATATCAGAAACGCAATTTTAAAAAGAGGTCGCAGAGCGTCCAGATAAGTTTTGCATCAGTCGAAATTGATTTTGTGCGCCAACGTTTTCAACAGCCAAAGTTTCGTGCTACAATGCTGCAAACAACCCCCGACCCTGCTATCTGCTTTTGAACACTCACTCGTAGTGGCAGTAGCAGCGAGGGTGACTATCCTGCCCAGCTTGAGGGGTGTGGCTGAGAGGTCGGTCAAACTGCTCATCACAAGATTAACATAACGGATCAGACCGACTTGATCTATTGCGTGTCGTACTCAGACAGCGTGTATCGTTGCTCACACTAGTAATCACTGGATTGGGATCGGGTGGTCAGGCTCGGTGACTTGGCTGATGCATGTCATCGTATCCCAACCGTGTGGGTCGATGCTCATGATGTCAATCACTGGATTGTCTGGTCCAAGCTCGTTTTTTTTTTTTTTGCAAACAGCCGTCATATAGCTGGAATATATCTGAGTGCGGCGTTAAACAACAAACAAACAAACAAAACACTGGATTGTCGCCGTCACATAGCTGGAATGTTGCAGAGTACGACTTTTAACAAACAAAACCAATCCATTCCCAAACTGATTTGAATATTAATTCCCGATCTCCCAGGAACTTGGCAACTCGACAAAGGGGTACACAATGAAGGTGATCGTTTCTTATGGTGAATCCAGCAACCCTCTCCATCAAGTAGAGGAAGAGTACCGAGTCACGTGTACATTTGGAAGCAGTGGCCAGAGTGGCAGCAAACAACACCGCATTGGTGACAGGTGAGTACCAAATAAGCAGGACTTGATCAACATTATTCTCGTCCTTTATAATGACTTAAGTAAAGATCTGTTAGATGTTGAATTTTCATGGATCCCCGCTCATATTGGATTACTTGGAAATGAGAAAGCTAATAAATTGGCTAAAGCTGCACTAGAATTTGATGAATCCGAACAGGATGAAACAATTTTACCTTCTCCTGCAGAGTAAGGCACCGTCAGTATGGCCCATGCTAAAACAAAATGGCAGCAGAGATGGGCATCATCCTTAAAAGGACGTCATCTCTTTGGCATCGATCCTTTTATCACTAAATTACACATATCTAGAAATATTGGGAGAGAGGAGGTTCTCTTAACCAGACTTCGTGTTAGGCTCGAAGACCACAATGCCCATCTAAATGTTATTAATATTATTTTATTGCATTGCCAAAAGTATGTTAATCAGCGTAAGGCAATGGTGGAGGCACTAACAGTTCTCAATATTGACTTCTCATTGTCTGGTATTTTCTGTTCTAGGAATATTGTTCACCATGATGTTCAGAATGTCATTCTCGCTTATGTTAAAGCGTGTGGCAGTTTTGATACTTTATAAAATATCCAGGTACTTAGCAAACCTTTATTATGGGCAAGGTGTAAATGGGCCTAGTTGCCCGAACACCTATAAAACATTTTACTAATCAATCAATCAACCAAATAATCTGAAGGTAATGCTATCAGCATATTCGTTAATCGGTTTTTTTTCGAGCTGTTCTGTATTTCACTTGTGGGGCATCCCGTTTGACAGGTCTGCAGCAGGATTTATCTGCCAAAACCGTCCGACTTTGGAAGACACTAAGAGGGCCCGAACGGAAAGGTCTTTTGTTTTTTAATGTTTTTTTATGCTGATCTTATTAAAGCGGAAACATGTGTATCGTGTGTCAGAAGAAAATGTTCATGGCGTTCAATGATAGACGCTTCTGATCAACAAAATCAGTGGCGTCAAATCATCTCAGTGATTTGTGTGTCGATAAACTGTCAACTAAATCGATGGCCAACATGGAAAGGGGACTATGCTTGTCGTAAAATGCGAATATGCTTGTCGTAAAATGCGAATATGCTTGTCGTAAAAGGCGACTATGCTTGTCGTAAAAGGCGACTATGCTTGTCGTAACAGTCGACTATGCTTGTCGTAAATGGCGACTAATGGGATCGGGTGGTCAGGCTCGCTGACTTGGTTGATGCATGTCATCGTATCCCAATTGCGTGGATCCACTGGATTGTCTGGTCCAGATTCGATTGTTTTACAGACCGCCGTCATATAGATGGAATATTGCTGAATGCGGCGTTAAACAACAATGGCCAACATGGCTATGTATTTCGTCTGAAACCAATTCTTTATTGTACAAGTTTTCTTATGTCTCTATCAGTGTATTACGTATAGGTTTCGCGTCCTTACTTTTGCGACAATACAGTTAAGATATATCATGTTTTTACTATGGATACACCTGCGTTATGGTGACCTTAATATCGATATATCTACCGTATTGAGATACATATCGTATCCTTACTATCGATATACATACAGATAGACAGACAGGAGTTTATTCAATATTTTAGCCTATATGACCCATAGTACAGTAGTGTTTGTTTTTTGTATCAACATTGTACAGTCACGTGTAGGTAATAATAAGTTTACATAAAATATTAACGTCTAATTTCAAAAATCTTCTTCAGGAATATTGACAGAGATGATATTGTATTTGCATTGCAGGAGTTCAACAAATTTCTCATCAGTTGTTCATCTTTGTACATAGTTGAAATCATAGGGAGGTATCTATTTCTAAAAAACTGATAATATTTACAAATGAGAAGTACATGAAACTCATCCTCAACATAGCCTTCATTACAATAACGGCATAAACTACTTTCTTTATGTTGTACATTTTTCTTTCTGAGATTGTTAACATTAAAATTATGTAATGATATACGTAATTTACAAAAAGATCTTCTCAAAGGTCTATCCTGAAGTACAGATACATATTTTTCAGGAACAAGTAAAGATTTTATATTCGTATAATGGCATAAAAACCTTGAGGATGATATTTGACAGTGCCAATCTTGTGAAAATATATCAACTAATCTTTCCTTAAGCATGAAGATAAATAGTTTATCATTTCCAACATCTTGAGATATCCATGCAAGAGAAAAACCAGACATATCGATATACACATCGTATCGAGATACAAATCGTTTCGTGACCTTTCCACTAAGGTACATAGTGTATCGGAATCATGTGTATCATTGCATTTTCGGGAGACTGCTTATGTTGAGGAAACTCAAGTATGAATTTATAACTTGCTAATTATGTACGGTGAATAACAGAATAAGTGCAGAAGGTATGAACAGCTTTACAGAGTTGTCACACATTCCTGTGTGGGAACATATCCCTCTGGGTACCACATCGGTGAGGATCCGGGGTAGATAAGGTCTTCAACAACTCATTCCTGTCGCAAGAGGCGCCTAACGGGAACGAGTGGTCAGGCTCGCTGACTTGGTTGATGCATGTCATCGTATTTTCCAACTGCGTGGATCGATGCTCATGTCAATCGATGGATTGTCTCGTCCAGACTCGATTGTTCAAGACCGCCGTCTTGAAGCTGGAATATTGCTGAGTGCGGCGTTTAACGACAAAGAAACAAAACGGTAGTCTGTTTGAGGACCGATGGCCATGTGGCAACACAGATCGGTGTAGCGTGTCCCTCAGCTGCAGGGTGAGCTGCAGGGTGAGCTGCAAGGTGAGCACAATGCCTTTGTGGGAACAGATGGCCATGTGGCACCACAGATCAGTGTAGCGTGTCGTTCAGCTGCAAGGTGAGCACAATGCCTGTGTGGGAACAAATGGCACAATAGCTGGGTGTAGCGTGTCCCAGAGCTGCAAGGTGAGCTACACGGTGAGCACAATGCCTGTGTGGGAACAGATGGCCATGTGGCACCACATATCGATGAAGCGTGTCGCTCAGCTGCAAGGTGAGCTGCAAGGTGAGCACAATGCCTGTGTGGGAACACCAAGTCAGCGAGCCTGACCACCCGATCCCATTAGTCGCCATTTACGACAAGCATAGTCGCCTTTTACGACAAGCATAGTCGCCTTTTACGACAAGCAACCAAGTCAGCGAGCCTGACCACCCGATCCCATTAGTCGCCATTTACGACAAGCATAGTCGCCTTTTACGACAAGCAACCAAGTCAGCGAGCCTGACCACCCGATCCCATTAGTCGCCATTTACGACAAGCATAGTCGCCTTTTACGACAAGCAACCAAGTCAGCGAGCCTGACCACCCGATCCCATTAGTCGCCATTTACGACAAGCATAGTCGCCTTTTACAACAAGCATATGTGGGCACAATAGCTGGGTGTCGAGTGTCCCAAAGCTGCTGGGTCCATACCATACCTTTACTCGTGGATTTAGCAATCGTCTACAAAGTCATTTCTGGGGTTCCCACATTATATGGACTCGTCGTGATATAACGTGATGATGTACTGTTCAAAGCGGGGTTTTACTCAACTCGTACTCTCAATCATTCACATCCTTTCATGTACGGAATGTAAACGTCTTCTCGTACAACACCCCAGGAACATACCATGTTTGTCTTCACATCTGTGCAGTGTTATTGTTCTAAATCTGGACGTGGTGCTGATGATGGAGCTGTGTTCTGTGAGGCTTTCCCCATTACTTGGGTTACTGATACGTCGACCCCTATTTCACAGACATACAATGCATTGTACATACATAACATTGCAGTTTCTGGAACTTAACTTTGGTAACAAATATGTTTTGATCATATGCAATCTGGGTTCTGGGTTAGAACTGGTCTACCGTCACCAACACCTCTCTTATAATGAAAAGACCCAGGTAGAGAATACTTCATCTGCAACCCATGCTTGCCGTAAGAGACGACAAACGAGATCGGGTGGTCAGGCTTGTTGATGCATGTCATCGTATCCCAATTGCTTGGATCGATGCTGATGTCAGTCACTAAATTGTCTGGTCCAGACTCGATTATATACAGACCGCCGTCATATACTACTCAAAAGAAGTTAAGGATCACCCGATTCTTTCATATTGGTAATGTTAATCTGTCATGGCATGAGAGATTAACTATTGTAATATGAAAGAATCATGATCACTTCTTTTGAGTAGTATATATATTGGAAATAAAGGTGGGATATTGTGACTGCGGCGGAAAACAACGACGAACTTAGCATTCAGGCAATGACAGTCGGTGCTTTTATTGTAGGTTTGTTTGTTTGTTTGTTGTTTAACGCCCCAATCATCAATATTCCACCTTCCTTTCCAATATGAAATTATCCTTGGCCAGACAAGCCAGTGATTGACATTATAGGAACGTCCACATTATCAGGGTTAAAACACAGTGTGACATCGAACCCCGAAGGTGTAGATCGTTGCTCATGACTCGATTTCCTTTCGGCTCCAGGTCCCCAATGAGTTATTTTTATTATAGCCTTAAATCATGTTTCGTCAGTTCTTTATATATTAACAGTGGTCGGCTAAGCGAATGCTGTTTACGCCGCAGTGAACAATACCATGGCTGCGTTTAAACAAGTGGTTGACAGCATGAAGAACGATGGATGGATAACGCACAATCAACCAAGTTCCTCAAACTGATCTGACCGTCGTCAAATTTAACTACTTCCATGCATAAAGGGGCACGGATGGCCCAGTCGTCTAATGCGCTGCAATTCCCTGTACAGAGTCGCGTCCCTTCGGCATGCCGCAAAACTATGAATGTTGGTTCGAATCCCAGATTCGCCCTGATTACGTTTCCATGCATGCACCACTTTGGGCTTTCCTCGCACATCAGAGTGAAAGGAAGCACGGGTAGCCCCGTCGCTTCAGGCACCGCAATTTGCTGTGCGGGGTTGCCACCCCTGGTCACGTGAGAAACCTGTTTGTGTGTTTGTTTCTAGGTTTGTCAACACCATACCCGAGCTCGTGGGTTTCGCAGAAGTGGTAAACGTCTGAGGCCTGCATCACTTCGGGCTTTCCTCCCACATCACGCTGACCCGCCGCGATATAACTGGAATACTGTTCAAAGCGGCCTTAAACAAAACCTACTAACACGAATGATGCTTACAATATCAACGCGTTGAGATCACTATGTAATGCCAGGGGCCAGGGCATGGTTTCCATCAGCTGCTTATTGTACTGTGTAGACAGTTCATACGGGGAAAGACCCGTGAAGATTCCGGGGTAGAATAGGTCTTCAGTAACCCATGCTTGCCGTAAAAGGTGACTATGCTTGTCGTAAAAGGCGACCAACGGGATCGGGTGGTCAGGCTCGCTGATTTGGTTGATGCATGTCATCGATCCCAATTGCGTGGATCGATGCTCATGGTATTAATCACTTGATTGTCTGGTCCAGACTCGATTATTTACAGACCGGCGTCACATAGCTGGAATATTGCTGAGTGCGGCGTTAAACAACAAACCAATCATACGGGGCACAGTGCGGAGTGGGAATTTGTTCTGCCCCGGAATCCCTCGGTGTTCTTGCTATTCGAGGAATGGCGTCGATTCGTGGAGGTGTGAATACCGGGAAAGCCGACAACATTTGCACTAATCGTCCCGGAATCCAGAATGCTGAACCTTAATCACTTTCGTGGAGAGATACAGATTAGAGACGGGGACATATCTGATAATATCGCGAATCAGGGAGGGAGGTAGAATTTAACGACGCTTCGCTATTGTTTCAGCTAATAGCATGATGAAGCATGTTAAAATTGTCCCTGTATACTAGTATATATGTTATAGAAACAGACCCGTCATGAATGTTTGTAGAATGGTCATAAGAATATACATGTTTAAAAATAATTTTGCTGACTTTATTGTTTTGGTTTACGGTTGCTTCCCTAAAAACTGTGATCGCAGCTAAAACATAAGTGAATCAGAAAATTGTTCTAATTGGCCTTATAAAAGAAAAAGTTGTTTTTTTTCTAAAATGTTACTCATTTTTGTGGAAGTTTCGTTTGCTGAATTGGTTAGGTCGCTGACTTTGGGTGCTGGCGATTAGGTGCCAAACACTGAGAGTATGGGTGGAATCAAGGATGTGACTCCACCCAAGTAGATACGAATTGTTACCCAAAAGATAATATATGTTACATTTAAGCACTTTCTGAAAGACATTACTTGTCCATACGTAAAGAAAGCAATTAACCTTAAATGTCTGTATGATATTAAAATGCATTGTCCTTTCATTTCAGCCTTATCGCGCCATCCGTCCTGAAGAACAACGTGGGTCCTGGGTCCAAGGCAAAGGTAAATCTTGTGGTGAGCAGTGTGACCGGGGGCGACCTCTCAGCTACACCCCTCAAGCTGGGCAGGATAGTCACCCTCGCTGCTACTGCCACCACGAGTGAGTGTTCAAAAAGCAAAACATTTGTTAGGTGTCTGTTATATCCAGGCGCATTCAGCAATATTCCAGCTATTTGACGGCGATCTGAATCGAATAATCGAGTTTGGACCAGACGATCCAGTGATTGACATCATGAGCATCGATCTACGCACCTGGGCTACGATGACATTCATCTACCACTGAAGCGAACCTGGCCATCCGATCCAGTTAGTCGCATATTACGACAAGCACGGGTTGCTGAAGACCAATATTAACCCGGATCTTAAATTCACGGGGTTCAACGTGAGAATATGCAAACGCCAACTTGTTCAGCTTTTCGGCCATCATGTATTTTAATGTCTGACACATGCGGACAATACCCTTACAAGTTAACAGGGGCGGTCGGGTAGCCTAATGGTTAAAGCGTTCGCTCGTCACGCCGTAGACCCGGGTTCGGTTCCCGACATGAGTGAAGCCCATTTCTGGTGTCCCCCGCCGTGATATTGCTGGAATATTGCTAAAAGTGGCGTAAAACCATACTCACTCACTCACTACAAGTTAACAGTATTTGCACATGGCGATTACACATTGTTTAATTCGTTGCTACGAGATTCTGCAAAAATAGTACACTGTTAAAGGACCCCTTTCAACGAGGATCGCCCAATCGCCAAGGCCTCACCGTTTGCTGTCCCCTAACCATACCAGTACTCGGCACGCATTGGTTAGAATCTGTCGGACCTGTCAAGATCCGGGGTAGAATAAGTGTTCTGCAACCCATGCTTGCCTTTAAAGGCGACTTTGCTTGACGTAAGGCGACTTTGCTTGACGTAAGGCGACTAACGGGATCGGGTGGTCAGGCTCACTGATGCATGTCATCGTATCCCAACTGCGTGGATGGATGCTCATGTTTTCAATCACTGGATTGTCTGGCCCAGACTCGGATATTTACATACCGCCGTCATTTAGCTGGAATATTGCTGAGTGTGGTGTTAAACAACAAACAAAACACAACTTTGGTTTGTTGGAACCAAAGACAATTTGCAACATCCGTGTTTTCTTTTAACATTTAGAAAACACAAAGTAGCTTTTCGTGCATGCATGTACGACGCTATGTTAGGGCATTTATCCGACGTTAAACTTATTTCACCTCACCTTATTCATACTCCGTTGGGGGGCACGGGTGGCCCACTCGTCTAAGGCGCCGCGATTCGCTCTGCAGAGTTGCGTCCCTTGGGCACGCCAGAAACCTATGATTGTGGGTTGGAATCCCGGTTCGCCCCAATTATGTTTCTAGGTTTGTCAGCACCATACCCGTGCTCGTGAGTTTCACCGCAGTGGTAAACGTCTGAGACCTGCATCACTCCCGGCTTTCCTCCCACATTAAGCTGACACGCCGTGATGTAACTGGAATACTGTTAAAAGCGGCGTTAAACCCAACTCACTCACTCACTCATACTCCGTTGCAGTGTTAAGCTCAATGTGGTTATTCTTTGCAGAAACTGATGTTTGGCCGTGCTTGAAATATCATAGATAACGCCGCTCGTCATGCGGAAGGCCCCGATTCGATTCCCCACGTGGATAACATATGTAAAGCCCATTTCTGGTGTCCCCGACCAATTATTGCTAAAAACGACGAGAAACCATTCTCATTCACTTACTCACTCGTGCCCTCCATTATGGGGATGTAAACTTACTTTTTTTGGTAAAATAATCATCAAACATGTCACTCCCCTCAGTCCATTATATAATACGATCCTGCCAGTACATCTGCCCATGGCCTGCAGTGACCGGGGACCGACCGACCGCTGATGGTGGCGCCAAAATACCTAGCGTTATTCAACACGTTCAGGCACCCGGCGCCAGATTTTTTTTTATCTAAAATGCAAAAAAAGGAGTCGGTTGTGAGCCTTCCTCACATCGATTAAGAAATACTGGGCAATTACACCTATGTTTTTATTCGACTCTGGTTCACCTGGAGTTCAAATTTGAAAAGCTCAGTTGACAACGTTCTGGTATGTGGAAAAGCATTATTTCACAAAATAATAACATAGATAATTTTTGTGACTTTAAATGTAAAACGGGGAGGTAGGGTAGCCAAGTGGTTAAAGCGTTCGCTCGTCATGTTCCATTGCCCACATGGATACAATGGGTAAAGCCAAATTTCTGGTGTCCCCCGCGTGATATTGCTGGAATTATTCTAAACGCCACTTAAAACCCAATACCCTCTCAATTAAATGTAAAAACAGTAAAAATGTCGGTAAAGTATAAGAACATCAGACCGTTCGCATAGGAGACACACAGTACAATATATACATTAAAATAAACTGTCCACTTCGTTGATGAGGGGGCACGGGTGGCCCAGTCATCCGAGGCGCCGCGATTCGCTGTGCAGTGTTGCGTCCCTTGGGCATGCCGAAACCTATGATTGTGGGTTCGAATCCCGGTTCGCCCCGTTTATGTTTCTAGGTTTGTCAGCACCATACCCGTGCTCATGGGTTTCACCGAAGTTGTAAACGTCTGAGACCTGCATCACTTCGGGCTTTCCTCCCACTTTAAACTGACACACCGCGATATAAGTGGAATACCGTTAAAAGCGCCGTTAAACACAATTCACAAGTATATATTTGCATAAAATTATCCCTATCTACCCCCTAGCCAATCTCTCCAGGGACATATCCCGCAGACGCCCATACACTACATTCTAATTCCTCGCGTGCATGATGTCGTAGTAGTGAGTTTCGTTGTCCGAATCCCAAAATGTTTTGCATTTATGTAAACGTATATCGCTTACAAATAGACCTAACGGACAACTTGTTAAATAATCCCTCGCCAGGTATACCAAAACATTATCAAAAATTAAAAAATACGCATAATAATAATCCTCGCCCCAAAGCCTACTCAAAGAGATCCATTTTTTACACCGCTCAGTGGATCAGTGTGCACTCCATTTTTATTCGCAACTCCCCGAGAAGTATACAACCCGACCTGCCAAGATGTCAATTTGTAAAGTACATTATAAAAATCGATATTTTTTTTTCTGTACACACGCCACTCTTAGATGAAAATCTTTTTAACTATTCCCGTCGGAACAATAAACGGTATTGTCAATAAACGAATGCAGTCCAAATTGAAGTAGCGTTACACCAACTTGCGTATTCTCATACACGTTACAGACTGTAGTATGAATGTTCCAAGTACTCCAGGATAGAGACCTACACAAATAAGCAACACCAATGAACCTGATATCCACTTAATTCCAATCAATCAACCAATCACTCAACCTCAAGTATAATTCGATCACATTTAATTCAATTAAATCATGAAAACCAAAATCTTCATAAAAACCAAAAGCATCATGTATTTCAGGCGGAAGTGAAGTTGGCGTCCGGCCGACGTCGTGTGACGCCATCAGCGGTCAGCGCCGTTACGCCATTCTGAGAGCAGGGTAAGATGATTACACGTTGATTGCTGAGTGAAAGCGTTTCCGTGCTCATCACACTTTTTGCAGACTCTATCACATCGTCTTTAAAGAACTAGACATTCTACCGGGATAAGCTTCACCTGCTAGAAATAGGCTAATTTAAACATAGAGCCAGACCTCGTTAACCTGCTGGTGGTCTGCCCCGGCTGTGATGTTGCCTGCCTTTCAAACAATTCCCGTCCAACACACACATGTACGTAGATATTGATTCTACGTATTGTGCGTTCCTTGGGCGCGCCAGAAACCTATGGTTGTGGGTTCGAATCCCGGTTCGCCCCGATTATGTTTCTAGGTTTGTCAGCACCATACCTGTGCTCATGGGTTTCACCGAAGTTGTAAACGTCTGAGACCTGCATCACTTCGGGCTTTCCTCCCACATTAAGCTGACACGCCGCGATATAAGTGGAATACTGTTAAAAGCGGCGTTAAACCCAACTCACTCACTCACTCACTCTACGTATTGAGAAGCAGCTTTGGATAAGCAATGGTTATGAAGCAAAGGCATGTGTTCCAATTGATTTCTGCCTATATTTTCATGTATCTACCCTCCACATTTTGAAACTATATAATATTTTTGATATGGATAAATTACTGATAGTTTTTACAGGAATTCGTACCCCATGCATCTGAACATATTGTGAAAATACTTATTTTTCAAATCACATCGTAGAAAACAATATACCAGGGTAAAGAAGATAGCTCAGTTTGTGACAATGTAGCATTTCAAGATATGTCACACAATTACTTAAGTGTGTTTCGGAGAAAATGATATAATCTTGAAATTAGCTTTAACAAAGGTAACACATTACTTGTGCTGTCCGTGTGGGTATAGTCGGAGGATGGACATTCGTATCTTGTATACGGATACAGTGTCGTAAGGTCGCATCGAAAGGTTCAAAAGGCTTTGAATATGTTTGTGGGAAGACCTAAACCACACATCCGGGCGGGTATGCAGTCTGGGACCCACCGCTGAAAAAATATCCATAACTGGTTAAGTACAAACTAAAGTTTATAACATGTTACACGTCATTTACCAGACAATAAAGGTGTTAGTACCGCGGGTTATCCATATCATGTGACCCGTGAAGATCCGTGGTAGATTAGGTCTTCAGCAACTCATGCTTGCCGTAACAGGCGACTAACGGGATCGGGTGGTCAGGCTCGCTGACTTGGTTGATGCATGACATCGATCCCAATTGCGCGGATCGATGCTCATGTTGTCAATGACTGGATTGTCTTGTCTGGTATTTACAGACCGCCGTCATATAGGTGGAATATTGATGAATGCGGCGTTAAACAACAAACATACAAATCATATCATGTACCACGTCATTTACCAGACAATATAGGTGTAGGTACCGCGGCTAATCCATACCATGTTCCACGCCATTTACCAGACAATATAGGTGTAGGTACCGCGGCTAATCCATACCATGTTCCACGCCATTTACCAGACAAAATAGGGGTAGGTACCGCGGTTAATCCATACCATGTTCCACGTCATATACCAGACAATATAGGTGTAGGTACCGCGGTTAATCCATACCATGTTCCATTTCATATACCAGACAATGTAGATACTGCGGTTAATGCATACGATGTACAACGTCATTTACCAGACAAAAAAGCGCAAGATGCCACGGTCACTTCACCACATGTACTTTAAGCATTCACCTACTCCTCCTAACGAATAAAACCCAACACAATACATTTTCCCACTAAAATCAGCTTCAAGTTGGACCGTGGGTTTGTGTGGAGAGTCTCATGATCATGAAGACACCACACAGTTCTAGGAACCACCCGAGAAGAACCAATCTCAGCCTTCGAACTCCCGACGACATTGATCGATGTTTATTTTGTTGGCCGATTTGCCAGCTCTAGGGCAAATTAGACTTTTACAGACCGTCTTTTGTTCTCACAACGCCGTAACTACTCATTCACTTACTCGGTGATTAGCTGGGAGCCTCTGCCGTGGACTTGATCGACTTGGTCTGGAGGGAATTTGATAAAGCTTAGTTCGTACTGTAGAAGATTGCATGGGTTATTCCACTAGCTTTAGGTATTACCACTGTATGAATCTGGCTTTAAGGGAGTTACATGCGGGTCATTAACTATTGTTTTGTATTTGTCTGTTTATCTGTTAAGGGAAATAGTGTTCATTATTTTTTTATTACCAGAACGCATCTTACTTCAATGATAATGTGAGGGGGCGGTCGGGTAGCCTAGTGGTTAAAGCGTTCGCTCGTCACGCCGAAGACCCGGGTTCGATTCCCGACATGGGTACAATGTGTGAAGCCCATTTCTGGTCTCCCCCGCCGTGATATTGCTGGATTATTGCTAAAAGCGGCGTAAAACCCCACTCACTCACTCACTCACTCACTCACTGATAATGTCATGTTTAAACTTTAAATTTGTGTTTGCTCATTTTGTTTGTATTTGTTCTTTACTAACACATGCAAACACAATCTGTTTGATGTTGATTGGTGTTTTATCCATAAGAAGCAGTTGATATGCGAAACATATTAAAGGTAAATAACTACATATCGGGAAACCTGTGAATATCCGGGGTAGAATTGTCTTCGGCAACCCGTGCTTGTCGTGACTGACGGGATCGGCTGGTCAGGCCCGATGACGTGGTTTATGCTTATGATCGTATCCCAACTGATGCTCATGATGTTCAGCACTGAATTGTCTGGTCCACGCTCGATTATTTACATACCGGCGTCAAAAGGATGGAATATTGCTGAGTGTGATGTGAAACAACAGACGTACACCATGTCTGCAGGAAACGATGACATGCATCAACCAAGTCAGCGAATCTGACCACCCGATCCCTTTTGTCGCCTGTTACAAGCATAGTCGCCTTTTACGGCAAGCATGGGCTGCTGAAGACCTATTCTACCCTGGATCGTCACGGGTCGACTGAGGAAGGTATTCATGTTAAACTGCGGCATGGTTGCTCAGGTGGACAGCAACATGTAACCGGACTACTACAAGCAGCAGCATGGGCACACGCACACGCACACGCACACCGCGCGACATTACACCCCATTGCAACTCACTCTTACACGTCCAGGACCTACTTCCTCCCACGTTTTAACCTGGCAAACCGTGTTCCAAGCGGCGTACAACCCAAGACAACCACGCGGTTGTCTCCACCTTGCAGACGCATGCCAGATCCAGCTTGATCTGAGGCAGACCTTTTGGTGTCCATATGTTAGCATAGCAAATGTAAAAATATCATCAATCCAAGGCGAATTTATCGATTCCGCGATCGCGGAAAGATTCACAGAAAGTGTAACTCGCAGAATGACTGCAGAATTGTTTTTTTTAATCAATCAGTATACTACTTTTCATTATTCTAACTCGAATGATGTCCAATCATTTTGCATATGATTCAAACATACACACTGATTCCTGATATAAGATGAAATCTGAAATAGATATTTTTCACTTTTAAACGGACCGCCTCCGTGGTCTAGTGGCAGCGCGTTCGCCCGGAGAACGGAAGGTTTCGGGTTCGATCTCCGGCCGCGTCATACCAAAAGTCGTTAAAAGATGGCACTTGTTGTTACCCTGTCTGGCGCTCGGCATTAAGGGGCTAAAACAAGGACTGGTCGGCTCGGAGTCTCAGTGGGCTAGCTCTATTAATCGGCATCAGTCCGGGCAAGCACAAGCACAAGCACAAGCACAAGCACAAACTCACGTGCATGTACGTCGCTATATAAGTGCAATAATCTTGGACGCGACGCTAAGCCCCATTTCACCTCGCCTCACTTTTAAAACATTCTTTTGGTGTTATGACTACCTGAACTATGTTTGCATGTAACCATAATATATAGCACCAGGGCATAGGTATTTACATAATTTTGTCTTGTCCATTTCAATGATAACTGTTTATCATTGATAATAATTTGGATTCTAGTTTTAGAAAAATGTGTTCGTATTGATTTTTAGGGGATGTGATTACGTTCTTGCCGCAGAATTTACAAAATAATTTGGTAATTTTACCGCAGACTGTTCATCTGAATTCATCTGCTGCTGAGGAATAATATATTCTTTCAGTAATATTAACTCAGGAGTCCATTGCATCAGTGATACAAATATAATAATTGGCGTTGCTTACACAAAGTGTAGTGTATACAAACACACCCTCCTATTGTCACTTCTCTTTCAGATGCGGAGATGGAATCGTGTTCAACACAACTGATGGTTTTGTGACTAAAGGCCTGACCACCAGGAGTCCCTACTTTCAAACATTCGCCATGGGAGGGGACCGCAGCATGAATTTCGAATGTAACTTCACACTGTGCAGCAACAACTGTGACGGGGTAGGTTTCCTATTGGAGCTACATTGCTGACCCGCGGGTGTACCAGGGATGGATGGGCCTTAGTCTGTCGTCCAGACCCCAGACAGTAAATTATTATGGGAGTGCTCTCAAGTCTAGAATGAATTGGCAAGTCCAGATTGCGTCTGCTCTGAAATTAAGGATTTATCTGGGCTCCATTTGAGCTATATATCAATCGCGGGATTGTTCCAAATGCTGTCATATGTCTGGAATATTGACTACTGCGGCATAAAACAAATTTATCTGACATGGTATGGCGTTGGGGTAAATATTTCAACTTTTAAAGCGTTCGTTCGTCAAGCCGCCATAGTGCTTGGAGATTGCTAAACGGCGTAAAACAATACTCAAGAACATACGTACTGAGTTGATTTTTAACCATCACTGATCTTGGATATTTAGCAATGAAATATTTGGTGCTCAATATTGCGTTTAACAACACAGACTCACTCACTTATGACCTGGTCTGGCTCCATACTCTTTCGGGTTCATAACGTCATGAGACCACCTCCGTGGTTTAGTGGTAGAGCCTCCGCCCTGAGAGCGGAAGGTCCGGGGTTCAATTCCCTGCCCGCGTCATACCAAAAGACGTTAAAAGATGGTACATGTTGTTACACTGTCTGGCGCTCGGCATTAAGGGGCTAAAACAAGGACTGGTCGGCTCGGAGTCAGTATAGTGTGTCTGAGTGGGGTATTCGTGTTTAACTGCGTCATGGTATATCAGTGAGCTAGCACTGTAAATCGGCATTAGTCCGGACTAGAACCAGCAGCCACACACACACACACTTGCTTTATAAGTGCAATAATCTTGGACGCGACGTTAAACCCAATTTCACTTCACCTCACCTCATAACGTCATGCATTTGCACAGAAACAAAGCTGGCTCACGTTCGTGATAATGGCATGTCTACCGTCGTTCTCAATGAAGTATTGGGGCGTAAAGCTTCTGCTACAAGCAACACATCTTAAAACAAGTGGAACTCACTTGCCGATGGTATAGAGGTCTTGGCAGGTTTGCGGAGACCTCCAGCGGTTAACAGTGCACATTCGTTAGAAGTTGGGCGACTTTCAAATTGTTATCCAAAGGAATAAAAATCTGCAGTGTTTTACCCTGATGGCCTGATCCTGTTTTGAAAGGCTTTGCTGGGATTCCTTCTTGTCATTTCGGGTTAGTAAGAACACGTGTGTTAATTTAATATTTCGAAAACTTAAATATAGCGACAAAACACTTTTTATAACCAATAGAAATCTCCCCATAAAGCAGAGTCGATTGTATGATTCCGACAATGTCATGAGCTTGTGTTTATGAAATAATAACTCCAGGTTTTCCCAAAAAGGTGCTCGTATCAAGCCCCACCCCTGGCACCCATAACATATGTCGTATTAACGATTTGCTCATTTTTCATATCAAGCGATGTTTTACTGTTTAAAATTTGATCAAGGCATCAACACTGGATTTTCAATATGGCCGCTCGAGGTAGCCATCTTTCATTTTTTTTTAAAATCAATGAATCTTCTCGCCTTCTTGAAGGGCCCGAGGCCTGAAACATGGTGGACAGATGGACATCATATGCAATTCCAAGTTTTTCATGAAATATGGCAATCAGAAGAGATAGAAAACAAAACGTGCACATTCGTCCTGAACATATTTTCCCCAGAAACTGAAAGTGGAGCTTGTCGGTTCTCACCGATGGTACCCCAATTTGCGTAAGAGGTTCGAATATCCGAAACTACGACAGCCATATTTATGATCATTATTCGGTCATTTTGCCTGTAGCAATGGAACACATTCAGTGACACAAAAGCAGGGTTTGATAACTTGCTGTCCAATAAGTAACCAACTTCTTAACATGTTGGCGCCCAGTCGTGAAATAGAAACTTCTTACATATTAGCTTCTGTAGTAATTGCCAATAGAATTAAAAAAACAACAACATTTACTACTTGTTATAAATCAAAACAAAAAAGCTTTCTCCCAGGAATATATTTAGGAGAAATAACCATACTTATATGTGAAGTTATGGATTGCACGGAAACACAACAAATACCGGGGCTGCTCCTACTTATGATTTCTGAAAAAAGCCTTCGATTCCGTTGACAGAACTTTTATGATGAATGTTTTAATTTTTTTCAAAACTTTGGACCGAATATACATAAATGGATTTCAGTTTTTTTAAGGAACGGAATCTTCAGTTTTAGTAAATGATTTACATTTTTTTTCTAATAACACGGGGCTGCCGCCAGGGAGATCCTGTCTTGCTATGCATATTTATCTTATGTGTTGCGGTTCTCTCATTATTGACATGAATTAGAAGATAAAGGCATTAAAACAGGAAATGTTGAAAAATTATTGGGACAGTTCACAGATGATACAACGATGATATTGGACAGTACCGAAAAAAACCTACACCAATCTAAACCTACACAGGTTTTCTGGACGAGATATTAAAGTATGGAAAATCAGATTGATATGAATTGGATCCCCCCCAAAACCCAGATACATGCTTGTAAAGAACGAAACGTAGACTGGACATAACCATCCTTTAAGCTTTTGGGAATTAAATTTGATGTAGACTTAGATGAAATGACTCAACTTAATTACACGAAAAGCTTGAAAAGATAAATAGAGAAATGGACCAATGATCTAAAAAATTTTATTCTTATGGGAAGAAATGTTTTCTGAAACTTTTACTATTGTCCAAACTTAATCATCTATTTTCGTCAGTTCCAAGCCCTTTAGATAAAGTAATAATTTCATATAAAAAAATACTTTAAATTCATCTGGACATTAAAAAAGATAACCTTAAGATATCATAAAATAGTATGTATTTAACACGTAGATTTGGAGATATTAGTGCTCCAAATGTTGTACATGTTATTGCCTCAAAGAGAGATATATTGCTGGGTGCAGCACATGTACCACCACATCCCTGTGTCAACGATTAAGTATAATCCTTAATACAATCATGGAAGGACTTTTTTTATATTACCAGAACGTATTTGAGACAAGTGGAAGTAATACCATGTGTATCCTCAAACACTCAAAGGATTTACTTGACTTTTCACAATATCAGAATAGAACCAGGTTCACATTCACTATCCTAAATCACAAACGTAATGAAAAGGTTCATTCAGTGATACATGATATGGGTCTTTTGTCACAAAATATGGTGACCACAGATACAGTTAAATATCTTCAGAGGTTCAGGCCAATTCGTCAAAATGAAAGCAAATGCCATCTGATGTTTATTGAGAAACTAATGTGAAATGCTGGACTTTCTCATTGATAACTTATATGTAAGGACATTAAGGCAAGACGTCGGCATCCCCATGGGCACCAATGTCGATCTCCTCCTCGATGATCTGTTTCTTGCTGCATATGAATCGAAATTTCTGCTCAGATTGGCAAATTTAAAACAAGGTAATTTATAAGTTGAACTTAAGCTTCAGGTCTATCGATGATCTGATATTGTTCAACAACCGATTCCCTTCAACTGATTTACCCACCTGAACTAGAAATAAAGGAGACTAGTGAGACCGCCTCATCTGTTTCCTATTTAGATCTGTGCATAACGACTCAGAGTGACAAAACACTTTCCACAGAGTGTATAACAAGAGGGATGATTTCAACTTTCCAATAGTCCGCTTTCCCTTTATGTCTAGCAATATTTCGACAGCTCCAGTCCTTGTTGTTTACATTTCACAACTTTTGAGAAACACTCGAGCATGCTCTTCTTCCAAGATTTCAAAGAGCGTCATACAACTCTTGCTCAGAAACTGTTTGTTCAAGGTTACAACATTCAAAGCTTTCACCAAGTTTTATGGTAGACTTTTGGAGGACATGTGGACTCATTAGTGACAAATGTAATTTCCTATTTTGACTTATATCATGTTTTCCCGTGTTTTTTAGCTGAACACTTGACATGCCTTTGCATGTGTTTACTACGGGTGCCACCGGTGGCAGGATACGCTCAATCACCTGGTATCATCACTGTTTGATGGTGATTCCTAAACACAAGCTCATGATATAGTTGGAGTCGTACAATCGACTCTGTTTTTGGCTTGTATTCAAAATATTTTCATGGATAGACAGAATATACCAAAATGAAACGTGGCTGAATCATATATCCATATCGTTCCCAAATGCTTATGAAATATTCCTAGCAGATTCACAACACTTGGCTAAACATAGTGTACCTTATAATTATGTATCAAATAGACTTCGCAAGATGCATTTAGTTCATACTACTTAGTTTTGTTACATGTACCATGTTATCTTATCTGGGCAGAATTAATGAACCAGTCAATATGGTATGTCAGTAACATATCCCCAGTGGCAGTGAATGAAAGGAGTAGACTACAATGATGACCATCTGAATGAGATTATACATGTAATTTTGCCCAGTTCCCCCAAAATGTAATAAAAATGTAATTTTATTGAATTTGAAAGTATTAGAACATCGACTGCTGGATACTCTTAGACACGCAACTATTGTTCATGCATATGTAGACTTCACCAGCGCCCCTTTGAACATAACGAACATCATTGAAAACAAAAACTGAAGTAAGATGTTTTATCAATTCTTACTCTGTACAAAATTCGTAGTCATTGCCAAGTAGCGTGGGGAAAAAATAATGGGTCGGAAATTTGAAGAAAATGATTGGAATAAAAAAAAATCTTATTTTGTGTGTGTGTGTGTGTGTGCGTGTGTGTGTGTGCGTGTGCGTGTGCGTTTGCGTTGCGTTTGCGTTGAATTCTCTGAGATCTGCGTAACATTGATTATTGTGATGTGAATATTCTGATATAGCTTATTGGTGTGTATGCACATGTATATGGAAACTAAAACAAACAAAATGTAATGCTATTTACTTAGTATCTGTGTTATTTTGTGATATCTTAGATGCTGTCCTTGATTGGACCTTCACACGTTGACCATAATGAAAGATGAAACATCTTATTGCCATTACTCAAATGCAATGAAATTTGGTGTGTGTGCCTGTGCGTGCGTGTGCGTGCGTGCGTGCGCGCGTGTGGTTAGTAGTGGAACTCAACACATATTCCGTCGTTTGTGATGTTCGAAATTTTCAGATTTGCAATAATTTCTTGCAATATGTTGTTCAACGCACCGTTAACATTATCATCACCTCCAATCCAATTTTCAATGTGGCCGACACAGCAAGCACACTGAATGAATTTATGGCAATTTCTCTGCCATGTTTGTGCAAAATGTAATGATTGGTATTTGTTTAGCTAATTGTGAGATTCGTTTGTAGCTATATCTCACATTTTGACGTTTTTAAATTGTTCATAAGCCATATTTGGCTCTGTAAACCAGAAATGGGCTTCACGCATTGTTTCATAGTGGGGAATCGATCCCGGGTCTTCGGAGCGAACGCTTTAACCATGAGGCTACCCGACCGCCCCTATAAATATTGTAAAATACATTTACCTTACACAGGGTTTCTTTATATTTTCTGTTTTGATGAAAGGTTTATTCACTGCTTCTGTCGAACGTTTTAACACTTGGCTACACCAACGCCCTGCTGACGGCCTGCTCAACTTGGTATCAATGTTTCTCTTTATGATGACGTTGTCTTTTTTTAAAATTATTTGATCTTTGTGCTAGTTCTTACTTTTGGGATTTTTATGGAATACCAATATTGACATCAGCTTTTGTTAAGTTGCTGTTTTTAATGGCATTTCAAACCGTTGACTACATATCCAGGTGAGCTACAGTGCATTGGCATATTCCTGAAATATAATCTTTACGATGCGGAAACACGGGAGGGTAATAATCAATGCATCATTCTTACAATACTTCATTCAGGAACCGTGTGTGAAAACAATGCTGTAATCAACCGCCCGATTTATCATACAGTACCAATGTCTTGTTCTTTGTCTCCAGCAACACCCACACATTTCGAAACTTATTGGGAACGTGAGGCAATAACTCAATAGGGAGGCTGGCATCGCATCGATGTATGGAGATTAATAATGTCGATTCTGCTTTGTTAATCCCATCTGCATATTTGCACAGCAAAAAAAGTGTAGGTTTCCGTCTTCCGGAAACCTTCCGGATACCTACCCATTTTGGATCCGGCCCGGATACATTCCGGAAACCTACCAGATGCCTTCAGCAACCTTCAAATTTCTTGGTATTTTCAAGATATTTTTTTTATGTGTTTCACACTTAAGTGAACAAAATGCACCCCCCAAATTTTGACATTTTTGGGGGAAGGTTTCCGGAAGGTATCCGGGCCGGATCCAAAATGGGTAGGTATCCGGAAGGTTTCCGGAAGACGGAAACCTACACTTTTTTTGCTGTGTTGGTTCGATCCCCAGCCGCGTCATCCTTTAAAACGATAACAAATGGTACTTGTTGTTACCCTTCCTGACGCTCGGCATTAGGCGACAAAACAAGGACTGGTCTGAGGGGGTATCCATCTGCATGTTAACCTGTGTGGGCTGGAAATATGAAACGTATAACTCCGGGCTAGCACAAATGCAGACGCACGCACGCACGTACGGACGGACAGACAGACAGTTTATTCAGTAAGAAGGCCATAGGCCCATAATACAGACAATGGTTGACGTTGCTATATATATGCAGTATTTTTGAACGCGATGTTAAACCCAATTTTCCCTCGCGTCCATATTAATGGAATCGTAAACCACAATGTATTGTATTGTTTGTCAAAGCGGTAACACTTATACGATAATTTCATGTGTTGTAGTCGAATGGTAACGGCTGTCGTTTGTCATGCCCAAGACATGAGTTGGATTCCTGACAGGGGCACAATGTGTGAAACCAATTCTTGCCGATCGACATGAAAGGTTGCAAAATGCGTCTTAAGAACTAACCCACTCGTGTGACATTACATTTGGATAAGAAATCTGAACACTATTTAAGTATTGTTCGCCGTAGATCATTACGTTTTCCGGCTTATTGTTGACCTGATGCTACTTACTGAGCCTATTTCAGAGTTCCTGCATCAATGGAAGAAAACGACGATATCTACTGGTTGAATCAAACAAAGAAGGTATCGTACTTCAGCTGTGTATAAATAACATTAGTATGGATGGTGGTTACCATGCATGTGATATGCTATTTGGTGGAAGAGAAAAGACATAAATATAATTCAACAATGATACAATCTATTTAAAAAGAAATACAACTACCATTAGACTATCCGTGCACGAAAGCACAGACAAGCGTATTGGAAATGACAACCTAATTTTGAGTGAGTTCGGTTTGAACATCATTATAGTTCTATCACGGCTTATCAGCTTAATCTGAGAGGAAAGCCCGGAGTGGTACAGGTCTCAGACGTTTACCACTTTGGTGAAATCTACGAGCACGGGTCTGGTGCGGACAAACGTAGATACATAATCATGGCAAACTGGGATTCGAACCCAAGATCATAGGTTTCTTACCCAAGGGACGCAACTCTGCACAGCGAATTGCGGCGCTTTGACGACTGGGCCAACCATGCCCCCACCTAAAGTATTCACGGAAATGAAAAAAAACTGTTTTTCTCAATTTAAAAATCGACACAAAGTGTTACATAGCTGTAAATACGAAATACCAAAACAACTCGAAAAGTACTAGTCTGGATTTGCTAGTTTGATCTCAGTGAACAATACAAAATGTACTTTACAGGAGGTTATTTGTCGGCACTTTTAACATTCAAAAATAAAACTAAGTCCAAATTGACACAGCAGAAACAGACTATAGGCATTATGCATCTGTTCTCACCTGTCAAGGTGTCATAGGTCACCTTTATTTATTTAAGATCTGAGGTCGAAAAAACAGTTTTTTTTCATTTCCGTGAGTACTTTAATTAAGAATGACACACTTTAGGTTCAGAACATTTTATCCTTCTGCTCATAGATGTGATCAGTGGCATCTATTTGGACACATAGTGGACTGACATAATCTCATACACATGAATCTCTTCAATGTTTGCTTCAGACAACTTGTTCGAATTGATGGCACAGTCCATCCCGATGACGCGGCCGAGCGTTGGTAAGGAGCCACAGCATCACCCAAAAGACGTTCGAAAAGACACTGTCAGAAGGTCTCTGTTGAGCAAACGCTGAGAATTGTTTATTTTACAACACGTTAATTTGTTGTTTTGGTAATAAAATGAAAGTTACAATTTTTCTTTTTTTGTGTATTGTGGTGGTAGAAGGCTTAACGCTGTCCTTAAAAGTGTTAGCCACCGTCGACACTGGATCCAGTGATTGTCATCAAGAAAGGGGCGGTCGGGTAGCCTAGTGGTTAAAGCGTTCGCTCGTCACGCCGAAGACCCGGATTCTCGATTCCCGCCATAGGTACATTCTGTGAAGCCCATTTTTGGTGTCCCCCGACGTGATGTTGCTGGAATATTGCTAAAAGCCGCGTAAAACAATACTCACTCACTCGCTGTTCTATTAAAAAGAGCGTCGCTATATAAGTGCAATAATTTTGGACGCGACGTTAAACCTCTTTTCTTCTCACCTCACCTCTGTTAAAAATAATCTTGGAATACAATAAGTTGTCGATGGACATGTACCTTTAATCTATGTACGTATTTTTTCCCACTAGGTATAATTTTGGGCTAGGTGCCTGTCAGTAGATACCCTATCGTGCATGTTTGTTTGTTGTTTTACGCCTCACTCACCAAAATTCCAGCTATATGACGGCGGTCTGTAAATAATCGAGTATGGACCAGATAATCCAGTGATTGACATCTTGAGCATCGATCCACGCAATTGGTATACGATGACATGCATCAACCAAGTCAGCGAGCCTGACCACCCAATCCCGTTAGTCGCCTTTTACGGCAAGCATGGGTTGCTGAGAATCTGTTCTACCCCGGATCTTCACGGGTCCTGTTGTGCATGTAGTAAGACCGCGATATGACTTGGATTTATACACCAGGAATCATCACTATACATTTGATAGTGATTCATAAACGCATGCTCACAAAACAGTCGGAATCGCAGAGTTGTCTCTGTTTTTAGCAGAGATGTCTTTCGATTATTGTGAAAATAAATATTTTTGTCATTGTTTTAATATGTATTTATAGCGTGGAATAAAACTATTAATAATGTTAAAAATTCTTCGATTGGGGTATACATATTTAAGCACAGAGAGCCTACTTTGATAGGACATGCAACATTATAACGGAATTCAAATTTAATCATGGCATTTGGACGAGAATAAAGCATTTTAGGTGAAAAAAATAAAAAAAGGGGATATATTTCAGGAATATAGGACGATGATCGAAGTGAATGCGTGTTTAGCTGAAAACAAGTTGATTCATAACGTTCGCAAAACTTTGATCACTGTAGATTTTGCAAACATGAAACACCTCATATCTCGGGGACTTCTTTATCTCTTAGTCCCTCTGGTCCCACTTAAACCCCTATTTAATTACTTGTTTGAAGGATTAAAACAAACACAAGGGCCGAGGCAGACCAGTTTTTGTAAGTTCAGTTTATCTGCTGATTGTGGATCAGTGACACGCTCATGTGCACAGCCCACTGAACGCCGTTTCTTGTCCTATTTCTCCACTGTGGCCTCGACAGAATACCTCATCAGTGTTACTGACGGTTCAAAGATAAAGATCACTCTTGGTGATCTGGTATACACGATGCACAACACTCCATTATACACAACTCGTATACAGGACTATACACAACTCGTATACACGACTATACACCGTTTGTATACACGACTGCATAACTATACACTGCTTGTATACACGACTATACACCGCTTGTATACACGACTATACACCGCTTGTATACACGACTGCACAACTATACACCGCTTGTATACACGACTATACACCGCTTGTATACACGACTGCACAACTATACACTGCTTGTATACACGACTATACACCGCTTGTATACACGACTGCACAACTATACACCGCTTGTATACACGACTATACACAACTCGTATACACGACTATACACAACTTGCAATTGTATACACGACTATACATGGCTTATTTACACGACTATTCACTAATTTTGTACACTATAAACCACCTGTATACATCACTATATACCACTTGACCGTGCAGATACACTACAATACGCCTAGCGTATGGTGTTGACAATCAATATACAATAACTGGATCGATTCAGGGGAACATACCCAAAATCAGAGCATCCTGGCACATCTGAGGGAAGCAAAACTGTATAGTAGCTTCTGGTCCGCACCCACTCCCAGTACCGTTATGGAATGATACTCCACTTGAGATTACTCTTTCCTAAACACCAAAAGGCGTTAAAAGATGGTACTTGTTGTTACCCTGTCTGGCGCTCGGCTTTAAGGGGCTAAAACAAGGACTGGTCGGCTCGGAGTCAGTATACTGTGTCTGAGTGGGGTATTCATTGTTAAACTGCGGCGTTGTATCTCAGTGAGCTAGCACTATAAATCGGCATCAGTCCGGACTAGTACAAGCAGCCACACAAACACACACGTACATGCACGTCGCTATATAAGTGCAATAATCTTGGACGCGAAGTTAAACCCCATTTCACCTCACCTCTTTCCTCAACATTTCAGACATTCAAAACAAAACTGAATACACATTTGTTAACAAAATGTCTTTCCAGAGTGACATTTGAATGTAGCGCTTTGGACAAGAACTCTACATGGAGGCTAGCGCATTATAAGTGCACATTATTATGATCATTAAATAGTATAAACATTTCGAATATCTTCATTTGAACAGATCTTCTTATCTGCGTGATCACAAGTACAACTATAGTCTTGATTTGTTTTCTCACATGTCAGTAAAAATATTGATCAAGTTTACAACAACAAAAAATCGTTTCCAACGGCGTAAATTTGCTAATACAATTTGTGCAAATATGGGCACCACATGTGTCCAACTTGTACTGACGTCAGGGGGCACATATGACCCGGTCCTCCCAGGGGTGTTACGTCCCTTAGGCGTGCCAGGACCTTTGATCGTGGGTTTCAAGCCTGGTTAGACCTGATTATATTTCTAGCTGTGTCAGCAACAAATTCGTGCTCATGGGTTTCACCCAATGGGTAAACTCTAAGATTTGCATCACTACGAGGATTCCTCCCACAACAATCAGCAGGCACGCCGTGATATAACTGAAATACTGTTCTGTGAAACCAAAGACGACTTGACATCCAGGCTACTTATGTCCATGAACATGAATCAATCGTTTCTGTGTTTGAAGCATTAAGACAAATAAGTCTCATTGCATTGCCTTTTCTTATCAAACGAATCTACAAAGTTTGCCAAATGAAGTTCTGATACTGAATTCTTGTGTTGCAAAGACCTCTTCAGACTTGACGACTCGAACGAACTACCGATTTTCATGATTGACCTTCGAAGTCATGTTCCTCAAAGAGGACAAGGCAAATGCCATGTTAGTTTTTGCAACGTACTTTGTAAAGAGCACGTATTGGTACGAAATGAAAACGTTAGTCGCCGACGTAATTTCGATCAATGTCGGTCCACTCCATCACGTCCCCCACCCTCTAATTGAAATCGGAAAGCTATTACGGTAAAGCTTTGCTTAATGACAACGGGATCTTGGACAAAAATCTAATATGCGACGTCGCTTAGACGGGACTTCAAATCTCTCAAAAAGAATTCGCAGCAACTTAGGGATCGCCGGTCGACAGTGTCTGTATGGGACGCCATACCCTCGCACGATGAACTGGTTTTATCGTCCCTTGAATAAACTGAAGATGTTTCCAGACGCCCCAGACCTCGTTTAATGGGTATCCATAGATGGCTCTTTCAGCACTTCAGTGAGAGGGACTTCTTATGTCTGAGTGGTAACGCACATGAAATAAGTGTGGCTACGAATGAAATTCTTTTAAGCTTTTAAGTCCATTGCATTTCCGTCGGTTGGGGTCTGAAATTAAACACGTTTCAGTAGTGTGAAGGTTGTTTTTAAAGGTTGTGGGTTCTAGTGGTTTATAGATAAAAACATAAATACATAACGACTAAGATGATAAAAACGACAATGCTATAAACTGAGGTGCAAAAGGTTACCAAAACGGTGAACACTGTAAATTTAATGACAGTATTTTTCTGATTGTTCGATGATGAAATAGTTGAAAAACGATAAAAGAAGAGTTTTAATACCACAAGCATACTTCCTTGATAATGTACTAAAAGAAAAAAATATCTAAAAGGAAAGGCCTATAATGCGACTATACTTGTAGTAAGAGGCGACTAACGGGATCGATTGGCCAGACTTACTGACTCGGTTCATGCATGTTAGCGTATCCCAAATGCGTGGATCGATGCTCATGACGTCAATCACTGCAGTGCCTGGTCCAGACTCGATTATTTACAGACTGTCGTCATACTGCTGGAATATTGCTCGGTGCGGCGTTGAACAACAAACGAACAAAAAGAAAGGCATATTTTCCTTGGACACAAGACAGTGACATAGCGCTCGTCCTTGTGCCTGAATAATTTTAAGAGGCGACTGACGGATTCGGAGTCATGTTCACTGACGTGACTGATGCATATCATCGCATCCCATGCGTGTAACGATCAGGGTCAGAGTAGGTCTTCAGCATCCCATGTTTACCGAGCAAGGCGACTATGCTTGTCGTAAGAGGCGACTGAAAAGATCACGTGTCAGGCTTACTGACTTGGTTGATGCATGTCATCGTATCCCGGGGTACACTGTAAAACTTTGCCGTAAAATATACGGTAACATCACGTGAAAAAGCAACGGTAGGATTCTGTTCTGTTATGACACTTGTACGCTTGAATACCCTGAACGTCAAATATTTTACGCCATTTCTCTGCATCTAACGATGTTTACGCAACGCTACCGTTTGGTCCCAAAACATTGTGGGATACTGCCATCCACGCTGCCGCCATTTGACGTTGACCTTGATTACCCTGAGAAGACTGCTGTCACAAGCCTGTTGGTAATTTGTACACATACGATGTATAGAGTATGCAAATCAAGGGTTCACATGTTTATTATTTAGGTTTTCTATGGTGTGCCTCTGTATTTTTGTTCTTGACGAATCGCATGGTGTATCATTGCAAAGAATGTAATTTTGAGACCTGTACTTTACGGCAGTATATCAGACATTATTGTTTACACTAAAATGTACCAAATATTTTAATTTCCTGTTGTCAAGAC